AAGTAAGTGTATATAAGGGAGCATTTCCAAAAATGGAAAGAGGTGGACGAGGTGCCACTGCATTTGATTCATTACATGAGCAATATCTTAACAAATAGAAAAGATAAGAGGTTCTTATTTTATGTTCTAGCTTGTCAATATGGGTAATTTGTGTTCCTAATTCATACAAAGCTATAGACTTAGTATTTTGACATCACAAACATCAAATTTGAACTAGTGCTGCATTCAACATACCACAGAACACACAAAAATCAATGCTTTACTGTGTTTTTTAATATTTACTATTAAATTAAGAAATTTAGTAATGTACAATACTAAAATTTGAATTATATCTACAGTTGACATAAATTCATGAAATAGTAGTTCAGTAAAATTTTGAATGCGAGTCAACAAATGCGATGACATGGCCTTTCACCCGTGACCCATCTGGAAAGGGTTAAGATTGTATTTAGTTTACATTGAATTCTCAAAAATTCAACAGTGTAATGCTATCATAGGTATATTTAAGAAAAATATTCATGTGGTGAGATAGTTAAACAAAATAAATAAACAAAAGGCACAGAATACAGCATTTCAAAAAAGAGAGCTTTCAGTGTTCTCTATGGAGCAAGTCTACAAAGTAAATACTGTTGTTATGAAAGAGAGCCCTCTGACCCAAAAAACTGGAGGAAGCATGTGTTGAATCTTTGTCTTCTGTATAGTTGTTTTAGCTTTTGTACCAAGAAACACGGTTTTAAAATTACACAGATAAAAAATGCATAGAAAAAATTTTACAGGAAAAAAAACAAACTTACAAGGATGCTAATGAAATTTTACAGACATATAGGGAACAAATGTCAAACCCAGATCAGCACTATATGATGGTGTCCATAATATGTTGGGTGGTGCATGTGCTGGTAAACAAGTTCCTATAGTAATGTTACTAGGATCTGACATATATACAAATGTCATCAGACTACTACAATGGGTGTTTACTTTTATAGCATTTGCCAAAATTGTGTTAATGCTGCTGAGTATACCTTATATTTTGTATATTAAAGAATTATTTACTTTTAATAAGAAAAAATGCTTAATGCAAGATCACATGATGTAAAACTGGCATAGTGTTGTGGTATCTGGTGTGAACAGTGATTAGAATGATGTTGTGGTATCTGGCATGAACAGTGATTAGAATGATGTTGTGGTATCTGGTGTGAACAGTGATTAGAATGATGTTGTGGTATCTGGTGTGAACAGTGATTAGAATGATGTTGTGGTATCTGGTGTGAACAGTGATTAGAATGATGTTGTGGTGTCTGGTATAAACAGTGATTAGAATGATGTTGTGGTATCTGGTGTAAACAGTGATTAGAATGATGTTGTGGTATCTGGCATGAACAGTGATTAGAATGATGTTGTGGTATCTGGTGTAAACAGTGATTAGAATGGTGTTGTGGTATCTGGCATGAACAGTGATTAGAATGGTGTTGTGGTATCTGGTGTAAACAGTGATTAGAATGGTGTTGTGGTATCTGGCATGAACAGTGATTAGAATGGTGTTGTGGTATCTGGCATGAACAGTGATTAGAATGATGTTGTGGTATCTGGCATGAACAGTGATTAGAATGGTGTTGTGGTATCTGGCATGAACAGTGATTAGAATGATGTTGTGGTATCTGGTGTGAACAGTGATTAGAATGATGTTGTGGTATCTGGTGTGAACAGTGATT